GGGGAGGAAGCATTAAAAAACTAGAGGAAAGTTGTATGTTTCATCAGTGCTATACTGCACCCAGACTGGCTCATCTCGTCCTTGTGACTTTCTGTAAGGGGATGTCCAATTAAGACTACAACTTTTGACTAATGTTGACCTTCTCCCTTCCTTTGTGGGAGCAGTCATAGCTGTAACACCAAAGTAGACTTCCTCCATCATAAATAAGTGATGAAGGAGAAGGGGGAAATTCTGTGGTTGAAGGATTGCCTCACAACATACCAGGCCCAAGTCAAGATGCCACTCCAATGGCATATGAAATACTAACTCTGGACATGGAAGCAAATGGAGAAATAATGGTGGATGCAAAGAAGAAAAGGAATGAAGGGGGAAATAGACTAAGAGGAAATCAAAAAGTGTGAGAAGTTGAGGGAAAGGAGTTGAAGGGCCATCTAAGGCTTTCTTTCAGCATTTGATTTTAGAAGTCACATGCCAATGAACATGGAACTCAAGAAAGATAGGGCTAGATTATTGGGCTACTGGATAAAAATGATTGATCTATTCATAACTAATTAATGGGCACCCGCAGGTTCTCTTCTTTCAGATCCAAAAACTATAAAGAGTGAGTTTTAATTCCTTAAGGTGATAGATGTCTAAAAAGTGCTCCTCATTCAACACTGAACTAATAGACCACCTGGTTATCTATGATTGTCTCATAGATTCTGAAGTCTGCTTCTCATCGTGATCCTACGGGCACTTGCTCCATTGCTCTGCTCTAGTTTGCCCACTTGGCTACCGCTTGTTTGGATCGGCTTTCAAAAGAACTCTTGAACGAGAGTATGGATTTACTCCATTTTCTCTCTTTTATTTTTTATATATTATCCTTAGCTCTTTACCACATAATCTGTGGTCTAGTCACTCTTGTGCCTTGCTTTCACTCCCAGAATTCTAGCATAGTTTTATCACTAAGTCCTATCTGTATGAGAGAAGGTATCGAGCAAGAAAAACAACAAATACCTTTGACATAAGCAAAGAACAAAATTTATAATCAATCTCTAGTTCAATTCCACACTATCTCATTCACTATGTTTTCTTGAGATAAGGTAAAACTAGTCATCTCATTTTCTTCAAGTATGTCTTATGAAGATACTCAATTATGCTTTATTTTAAAAGCTTTACAGATTTTTTTCATTAACTTTTATAACTTTATGACACAGCCCAAATTCAATTGTATATGTTATGTATAGTATGATTTAATATTCATTTTCCATATATAGAGAGAGTGATTTCAAGGTTATTTGTTGAAAAAAATTGTGTTTACTCATTGAATTGGTTCAGTGTTTTAATGGAAAAAGCAATTACATATATATGTGCTTGAGATTAATTAAGGACCTTCTATTCTGGCTCATTGATAAATTTGTCCATCTTAGCATTAAAGGTCTTAGTTACTGTAATTTTCCAAAATGTCCTAAAATTAGCTATTTGCATTTCTTTCTAAAATTGCTAATAAGAAATACTCAGATTTTATATTGGATTACATTGACTCTGTGTAACTCTCTTTGCATATAATTTTCATCATCATAATATTGAACTTTTGATACATAAACTTGGAATATTTATATTTATAGGTTTCTTTGATTTTTAACATCAATATTTATAGTGTTCTTGATAGATTCCATTCGTATTTTTATTAGGTTCATAACTAGATTGCTGCAGTATTTTTATGCTCTTGTAAATGTTTTAATTTTCTTTCCAATTATTTCCATATCATGAAGAATCAAAGAGTACAGATTATGTGTTGTGAGAGGCACCACTATTTTGGTTAACCCTCTTAGAGACTCCAAACAAGGCAAGCATCAAATTACTCTGACAATTCACAAGTTTATAGGAAGTAATAGATAGTTGTAATTTTAGACAGATGTTTTATGAGTTTGTTGTACAACAACATTGGTAGACGGAAGCAGGTGTTGCCCTACAGAAACAGTAAAACATATGGCACTGGTTTGAGAATGATCTGGACTTCAAGTGCAACAGGTATGGAAAAACAAAAAACTATTAGTGGAGGGTAGAAAGATGACAGTCCATAGGTTGAATTTTTTTTAAGATTCATCTAAAACCCATGAAGTGTTTGGGGTGTTTCTATTCATTTGTATTGCATTATCACTATGAGAGCACAATCCACTCAGCTGAGAAGAGACAGGACAACTCAAGATGAAACAAGGACCCCGGCTCCCAACTTCCTACTGCCTGGAAGCCTTCTAGGAAACCTCGGCAGCAGATGTGTGCTGTTTTCTTTTTAATGGAAGGGCTTCACAAAGGACCGACCCAGAAAGCAGAACCAATTTTTGCAAGGGGAAAAAATTGGACCAGGAGACCAAGCCTAGGAGCAGAACTCGTCAGTAATGAAAGATCATTTCCTGCTGCCAGAGTTGAGGTCCCTGGAAATGTGTGCCCAATTAGATGTCAGACTTGCTTTGGACTAGCAATTACTAAGTGCCTCTTATTCCTTCCTCTTTTGAATGGAAGTGTCTGTTGCGGTCCAAATTGGGAATGGTGCTAATCACAAGATCCGTGGATTTAAACATGCTGGCTCTGTATGGATATGGATACATTTTTATGCTCATTTTGATTTAATAAATTTAAAAAAACTTTTCCCTTTTCATTGTGTCTTAATTACTAGCCACCCTCTTCTCTATCTGACATTTCTATCACATCACCTTCCCAGTACCCTTAACCTGTTTCA